TATTTCTATTATTCGTGCAAATTCCGAGGGTGACACCAACAGCAGAAACCAAATTCCTTGTATGTTGTGTGTACTTGGCCATTAAAGCTGATTCTGATTGGGTCAGCTGGATGTAACAAGAGAACCAGATGGAAGTGGTTCAGGCAAAGCAATTTATGGCTCAGTAACATAAATGAACATAACAGAACTGTGACAATACAAAAGAAGATGGTGGATGTTGCTGCAAATCTAAAAAACCAAACGAAAACAAAACTAAACTCTTTAGCCACAATTAAATCTGATAGTAACATCAACACATAACAAAAAGAAACTAAAACAAACTAGTGCCTCAAAAAGCACAAGACACGAGTAACTTCTTCACCAAGTTGCACAGCTGCTAACAAGAGTCAGTCTTCACTGAGACTCTCACAAAAACTCCCACACCCAGTCTGCAGCTGCCAACAGAAGATAAATTACCACAAACACAAAAGACACAACCAAGAGGCACCAGGACTGACTGTTCACACTAAATCCAGCCAGCACCGACTGGAAGGTTGCTGGTTGCTCTTATAGCCAGGTGTGGTGATGGCTGGGGTGGAGGAGGAGTGGTGCTGGTCCAATCAGCTGTAACTGGAGGCGGGAAGAACAAGGCTGAGAGTAGGTCAGGAGCTCCAGAGCAATCATCGCTGATGTCTGGCAGGTGTGGTTCTGGAGCACCGTCCAATCAGGTGTGATTGGAGGGGCTGGAGTCTTCAGCTCCAGGTTGATTAGCTGAGATGGCTGGCAGCTGGAGTCCTGGAGCGAACTCTCAGCCAGACACAGCTGGACCTACACAGGTCATCTCCATGTACAAGGGTCACAAGTCCACATAACAAAACACACAAACACTGTGAGGCCGTAACAATGCAGATGTGGCACCAGAATGTTTCCACTGGTCAGTATTTTGAGGAAACACTGAAATTTGAATCCTTAGCTTAGGATTATTATAACGGGTTTAAATAAATACATAAATACATACAAACAAGGCAGAGCTATTTCCCACTATTGTTCTAACTTGTTCAGAACGCAGCAGCTCGGCTTCTTCCTGGTTTTAACCGGCGACATCACATCTCCCCTTTACTGGCTCCCTGTACGTTTTAGAATTGATTTTAAGATTTTACTGATCACTTTTGAAGCTAGCCAGAGCCTTGCCCCTGGACATATTTTAGACATGTTAACCCCGTAAATCCCCACATGCAGCCTTAGATCCTCAGGTGGGTCCCTCCTCATCAAATCCAAAGGCGACCGGGCCTTTTCTGTGAGGGCCCCTCGGCTTTGGAATGACCTAGCTGAGGAAATAAGGCTGCAGATTCAGTAGTTTCTTTTAAATCACTTCTTAAAACTCACTTTTACAGACTCGCTTTTGAGTGATGTTCTCTTTTATTTCTCTTTTAGACTTTCTTTTCCCTTTCTGTATTGGCACTGCCTGCCGTCCTTCTCTCTTTTCTTAATCTACTTTTATCTTTAGCTTTTATCTTCATTGCCCTCCTTGATGTCGTCTTTTTAATCAGTTTTACTGGAACACCTTCCAGTCGTCACCCAGTCTGTTCTTTTCCATTTTTATTGTATGTATTTTGATATTTTAAGTGTTTGCCTGCAGAACATGTTGTCTTGACTTTGTGAATTCTGCTCTTAAAAAGTGCTATACAAATACAATTATTATTATTACTATTATATATTCTAATGATTGGGTTGGCAAAACAAGAGTAGCAGCACCAGAACCATCTCTGATCGGGAAAACCCAACATGTGGAGCTGCACAGTAAATCATACAGGGCCTGATTAGCGACGCCCTGCAGGACAGAACAGGCCACGAGGAATATATGGACGGTCTGACTCTGACATATATCATCCGTAGTCGACCCTCTCTGCTGATCAAAACACACTGGAGGTCTGTGACTCAAAGTCCAGACGGTCACCATCCAGAGTCACGTGACGGGACGGTCACATGTTGATCTCAGCCAAATTAATTTGTGATCCAAGACCCACAACTGGTTTCTATCTTGACTATCGACGTGTTGTCCACTCTCTGTATAAGACGGTTCCTTCACTGCAGATGAAGCTAAAAGGCTGGAAGGAGGAACTTGACCAGAAGCACTCAGAGTCCCATGAGGATCTCTGCACACTCTCAGCTCGTTCACACCAGTAGCTGTGCCTCGGATTTACCAGTGAGCTGCATTAGTTCATCTTCAGTGACTGTTTATCTCCTCGGGGACGATCTCGCTGGTCGTTGACTAAGAACCTCCAAACAAACAATGTCAATGTGAGAGATGCAGCACATCAGTGGTCCCCAGATTTGCAAATATGATGATAGATTTTAGAAAAGCAAACTCTAAATGTTACGTTTGGATTATTTTTTAAAAGTTTTTGTTGGACTTACGACGACGTTTTACGTGATAGTAAAACAGTTTTGTGTTCTTAATGACAAAAGTCTCTCTGAAGTCGTAACACTGGTGAAATTTCAACAAAGAAACTAAATTAAATTTGGTTTGTGTCTTTATTTGTAGACCAGGTGATGATAAAAGAGAAAACACAGACAGTAGAGCAGTGATCTGATCCTCAGACAGAAATCCTCAGCAGGTAAAAGCCACAATTATTTCCCTGTTTAACTGCATTTTTTTTTGTTTTGTCGTCAGTTTTTCAGTAAAACTCTCCGAAAACATCACCCATTTTCCAACTTTTAATGTCTCAATTTCTTCTGTCATGTCACCTGGAAACGTGCCTGGAAACTCCTGTAAAATTAGGGAAAATAAAACTGTAAATTAACAGTAAAATTGTTAAACTTTGAAACTTCAGTGTTTGCTTTTTGGGCCCAAACAAACACTCACATGACACTGAGGAGAAATTTTAGGTAATAAAATGAATGAAAGCAGACTTCATGTGAGTCTTTTTTATTTCTTAAACTATTTTAATTATCTTATAAGTTCTCAGATTTATCCTGGAACATATGTCAGAGGTTTTACCTTCAGTTTCGGTGACCTAATGTGTTTTTTTTCCTGTCTGTGTTGGTCGCAGACTGAAGCAGATTCTTGTCATTTACAGTCTAAATCCATCAAACCACCTGCAGAGTCACAGACACGCACAAAGCATAAATACATCACAGCGGGGAAAATCTAATTCCAGCGGCAGAAGGTGACACAAACCATAAAGACGACACCGAACAGGACTGTGATCTGGGCCGGATTTAAAGGGAGAGGGCCTGACATTGAAGATAAAACACCGTCTGTTCCTTTTAAAACAAGATAAAACTTTATTAATCCCAAAAGAAAGTATCACGTCAGATATTGCTACCAAAAAAAATTACATAACATAAGAAATGCAGCGCTTAAAAGTAGAAAAGCAACAAGACTCTTTTCTTTTCATACAGAATAGAGTCTAAAAGGTTCATCTGTCGTGCTGCTTTTCTACTTCCCCCCCATATTTAGGAAGAAACTACAATAAACAACACAAAAACAACAACACTTGTGTACAAACGACAATAAAAAAATCACATAGATTTCATTCTCCAAGTCGTTTAGGTCACAATTTGCTCATTCTTTCATTTTCATTTCACTAAAAATTATGTAACTCGACTGTGTTATGAGACAGAAAAACAGTAAATGGCATTTAAACTGAGATACAATAAGTGACATCAAGCATGATAATGAAATATTGCACCAGAAGAATGAGATGCAAATGAAAACGTTGCACAACAATGACGATGATGTTGCACATAAGGGTGGACTATTAAGCTAACAAAGCTAACCAGCTGGCTGTCATGTTTCACCAGCAGCTAAACTTCAACAGTTTCCCTGAGGTACGCCACCAAAGGGATCAATAAAGTTCTATCTAATCTATCTAATCTAAACTTTGAGGCCCACATCACCGAGCTTATGCAAGCCTGCTATTCCCAACATCGCTAAAGTCAAACCACTGCTGGATCTCCTGGTACATGCCTTCATGTTCTCATACTTAGATTTCTGTAGCTCCCTGTTTACTGGCATAACGCCCTCCTCCATAGCTCGTCTTCAACTAGTTCAAAACTCTGCAGCCGTAAGTCCCACATCACTCCAGGTCTGGCCTCCCCTCAGTGGCTCCCAGTAAAAGTCAGAATAAACTTTAAGATATTGTTAATTACCTCTAAGGCCCTTCATGGCCTCGCCCTCATATATATATATATCTGAATTATTAGAGCCTTCCTTTGCCAGCCGACCTCTCTGATCCAACGATCAGGGCCTCTTGGTTGTTCCTCGCTCCCTTTTTAAAATCTAGAGGTGCTTTGGAGGTTGTTGCTCCTCAGCTCTGGAACAATCTGCCTGCTGCAATTCGTCTTTTAAATAAACTGTTAAAAACCCACTTCTACAGGTCAGCCTTCCTTTAAGGTGTCATTGGTATCCTCATGTCCTCTCTCTGTTCTCCTTTCCTGATGCTGATACTCTGTGTTGTATGGATGCATGTTTGTTTGAACTAATTTCAAATTGCATCACATTAACTTTTTACTACATTTCATCAAAACTGTGTTGCTATCTTTTTGGATTATGTGGATTATTATCATTATTGCACACATTTATGGTGTTATCTGGCATTTTGGTGTAAAATAAAGTCATAGTCTGTGTGTATTTTCTTGTATTTCACCTCCTCCTGTCACTTGTTTCCCTTTTTTTGTGCTTAACTGACCTGATAATTCAAACCACCATCATCTGTTCATTTAGTTAAAACAGTGACTCATAGAAACAAATCCAAGTTTACTCACTGAGGAGCCAAAGGAAGAAGGAAAATGTATTTATCGTCTTTAATAGGAGGCTGCAGGAGGAAGGAAGGAAGAGAGGAAGGAAGGAGGAGCGAGCAGAGAGTTTATAAGAGCCTCGGACGTCTCCAGCCAAAGTGCAGAAACGCGCGCAGGGTTTCTTCGGGGAGCCTCCACGTCACTTGGCTCCTGCATGAATCGGGGAAGTTTTCTCACCATCACCAGCGGGACACTTTTTGGATTCTTCGGGAGACTAAATGGAGGCGGTGAAGTTGGTGAAGTCGGTGCTGCTGCTGGTGGTGTTCGTGCAGGTGGTCGGGGCTCTGGGGTCTCCGGTGTCCGGGGAGGAGGAGGACGGGGACGCGTGGCGGGTGGCGGAGAGACGCGCGGATCACGACGTGGATCGCAGCGTGGACTTTGTAAGAACTGAATAGCGAGAAAATACCGTCTCCTGATTGAACCGGACTCACTTTTTTTTTCCTCCCACAAGAAGTTTAGATGCAGATTCAGTGTTTTTCCTTCTTTCTTTGCGTTGCTTCTGTTGGTTTCAGCACCTCGGAGAGCGACTCCAGCTGATGGCGCGCAGAGAAAACTCCAAATACAGCAAATTATAGGCTCATGTTTTGATTCCTTTCCTCTTTTTCTTTTGTCTTTTAATCAGAATCGTATCCAGAAACACATCTCTCTGTTTAAGGCTCCTTCTTTTATAGCAAGATGTTGTTGTTTTATTGCATTTTTCTTCTTTCTGTCTGTAAAAAACTCATTTAGTTCCAGTTAAAACTGATGTTTAATTGAGGGATTCTGAGGGTCAAACACTCATTTTCAAATTTTTTTCTTCCTCAAGAAGCTTAGATGCAGATTTCAGTTCAATCTTTTTCCTTATTTCTTTGCGACTCCAGCTGATGGTGCACAATAACACAATNTCGACTGTGTTATGAGACAGAAAAACAGTAAATGGCATTTAAACTGAGATACAATAAGTGACATCAAGCATGATAATGAAATATTGCACCAGAAGAATGAGATGCAAATGAAAACGTTGCACAACAATGACGATGATGTTGCACATAAGGGTGGACTATTAAGCTAACAAAGCTAACCAGCTGGCTGTCATGTTTCACCAGCAGCTAAACTTCAACAGTTTCCCTGAGGTACGCCACCAAAGGGATCAATAAAGTTCTATCTAATCTATCTAATCTAAACTTTGAGGCCCACATCACCGAGCTTATGCAAGCCTGCTATTCCCAACATCGCTAAAGTCAAACCACTGCTGGATCTCCTGGTACATGCCTTCATGTTCTCATACTTAGATTTCTGTAGCTCCCTGTTTACTGGCATAACGCCCTCCTCCATAGCTCGTCTTCAACTAGTTCAAAACTCTGCAGCCGTAAGTCCCACATCACTCCAGGTCTGGCCTCCCCTCAGTGGCTCCCAGTAAAAGTCAGAATAAACTTTAAGATATTGTTAATTACCTCTAAGGCCCTTCATGGCCTCGCCCTCATATATATATATATCTGAATTATTAGAGCCTTCCTTTGCCAGCCGACCTCTCTGATCCAACGATCAGGGCCTCTTGGTTGTTCCTCGCTCCCTTTTTAAAATCTAGAGGTGCTTTGGAGGTTGTTGCTCCTCAGCTCTGGAACAATCTGCCTGCTGCAATTCGTCTTTTAAATAAACTGTTAAAAACCCACTTCTACAGGTCAGCCTTCCTTTAAGGTGTCATTGGTATCCTCATGTCCTCTCTCTGTTCTCCTTTCCTGATGCTGATACTCTGTGTTGTATGGATGCATGTTTGTTTGAACTAATTTCAAATTGCATCACATTAACTTTTTACTACATTTCATCAAAACTGTGTTGCTATCTTTTTGGATTATGTGGATTATTATCATTATTGCACACATTTATGGTGTTATCTGGCATTTTGGTGTAAAATAAAGTCATAGTCTGTGTGTATTTTCTTGTATTTCACCTCCTCCTGTCACTTGTTTCCCTTTTTTTGTGC